TAAAAGAACATATTCCAATCTATTTTTTTTTCCAGTTTTTCCCAGAAGAAAAGAAAAAACGGCTTTCCTATCTCTAATCAAGAACCAAAAAAAAAATGGGGAGATAGCAGTCTCCTACCTCCTGTGTGACAGGCTCATCCAAAATACTCTGTGTTTGGTATTCCTGGACACAAAATATAATGCTAAACAATAAACTACCAGTCTCCAGGCTGCAACCTGTACATAGTGGAAGACAATAATATTTATATACAACTGGGTGTAAGGGAGGCCCATGATACAGTCATAAATGTGGTGACTTCCCAGTGACCACCTCTTAAACTGGATGATTGGTCAGATGGCCGCTTGGAACGCACCACTCAGCGTGCGTTTCACTCACTGGAAGTTGCTTCTTGAGAACGCCCTGTGGGAAGGGCGAAACGCGTTGATGCACTTCCGGTCTGCCGTCTATCCGTCCTACGCAAATTCCGGTGAGTGGAATGCACACTGAGTGGTGCGTTCCAAGCGGCCATCTTTGATATTGGTAAGAGAGACACTCTGTCATCCTCTGCTAGAAGGCTGTGAGGTTTCTGAAGCTGTCTGTGGATTCTATGGGAACGATGTTTGGCTGTTTGAAGGCAAATAAACAAATGCTTTTATTGATCTTGTGAAATGTGAGTGGCCTGGTATTATTATTACTACTGTAAATAAGTATTAGCAATATTACACTTTATCATACACCATGCCGCGCTTAAATAGATCAATTGGTATCCTTAATGAATATCTGTATAGCGTCTCTGTTTGAAAGAAGAAACAGGTATTCCACAATATTACAAATAGGTGATGAATCGTGACAACATATTAGATTATCGTATGGTGACTTCGGTGGTAAGTATAGCTGTAGAATTCACTAACCAGATAGCGCTTAGTATTGCGCATATAGTAGATGGAATTAGGTCATCTGAGGTTGGACATCTAGTATTCGAATCTGTTGATAAACACATCAAAGCTTCCTTTGATAACGTGCTATCGCACGAAACATGTCAGGAAGTTGCTCTCAGTGACCTCACCACGTGGATGCTTCATCTGGCCAGGTGATAATTGGCAATAGAAAGTGTAAGTGTTACTATTGTATATTTTATTCACAATTCAAATAAAGCAGTGTTGCACTATGGAACTTTTTGTGCTTGGGCTCTTTTTTCTTTGAGCCCACCTTTTTAAGAGCCCTGAGGATGACATACTAACCAGTGGCACCTTCTGGGAGATTCCAGCTACACTATACATTATTGTGATTTTGAACTGTGGATCCCTGATGACATCTTGACCGCCGGCTCCCCCTGGTGGATTTGTATCGCATCACTCGGTTATACTGGCTGCAATACCAATATTCCTGGATGTGTTTATCAATGGATTCGAACACTAGATATCCAACCTCAGATGACCTAATTCCATCTACTATATGCGCAATACTAAGCGCTATCTGGTTAGTGCATTCTACAGCTATACTTACCACCGAAGTCACCATACGATAATCTAATATGTTGTCACGATTCATCACCTATTTGTAATATTGTGGAATACCTGTTTCTTCTTTCAAACAGAGACGCTATACAGATATTCATTAAGGATACCAATTGATCTATTTAAGCGCAGCATGGTGTATGATATATGTATGTTATAGAAGGTTTTTGAGGTGATTACCTTTCATGCCAGCTGCTCCTGTCACATAGATCTAGCGCTCGTTCTTACACTGATATTTCAATTAATATTACACTATATATACATCAGGAGTGATTGAAAGGAGAATCTGATCCATATCTGGTGCAATGGAGTCCTGGAGGCTGTAGAGGGGGTATAGGATCCCTAAAAGTCCTAAAAGCGTGCAAATCACCAGTATCTGGTGAGTGCGGTTTATGTTGGTTACAGCACTGGTGGATGGTGGAAGCACATATTTAAAGGAGAAAGTTTTTCTTGGTTGGAGCACTAAGGAATTTGGGAATAAGGACTTTATATGTTTTTGGACACTTTATTTCATATATTTTTTATATTTTCATTTTTTTATATTTATATTTTTTTTTTTTTGCACTTATTATTTGAATTTATTATTACTTATATGATTTGTGGGTTTTGATTTGTGCTGTTTATATTGTTTTATATTATTTGGTGTGTTTACACTAGTGTACAGCAGCAGTTCATACCTTACTTGGGGATTTTCTTTGGCGCTGGAGTTTTTAATATAATGTTATCCTATGTGTCCTTGCACACATACAGTTGCAAGAAAAAGTATGTGAACCCCTTGGGATTACGTGGAGTTTTGCATGAATTGGGCATAAAATGTGCTCTGAACGTCATCTCAGTCACAACAATAGAAGAACACAGTCTGCTGCACATATTACTACACAAACATTAGATGTTGCCATGGTTTAATTGCACATAACATGTAAACATTCACAGTGCAGGGAGGAAAAAGTATGTGAGGCCCTAGCTTAATAACTTCTCCCAGAGCTAATTGGAGCCAGGAGTGAGCCAACCTTGACTCCAATCAGTGTGATGATATTGGATGTGTTGCTGACAGCTGTCCTGCCCTTAAAAAACACACACCTGTTTTGGGTTTACTGGTTTCAAGAAGCACTGTCTGATGTGAACCATGCCTCGCAGAAAAGAGCTCTCAGAAGACCTACGATCAAGAATTGTTGACTTGCATGAAGCTGGAAAGGGTTACAAAAGTATCTCCAAAATCCTTGATGTTCATGTGTCCATGGTAAGACAGACTGTCTACAAATGGAGAAAGTTTAGCACTGTTGCTACTCTCCCTAGGCCTGGTCGTCCTGTAAAAATGACTGCAAGAGCACAGCGCAGAATGCTGCATGAGGTAAAGAAGAATCCCAGAGTGTCAGCTAAAGACCTACAGAAATCTCTGGCACATGCTAACATTTTTTTTGACACATCTATAATAAGGAAAACATTAAACAAGAATGGAGTACATGGGAGGACACCACGGAGGAAGCCATTGCTGTCCAAAAAGAATATTGCAGCACGTTTGAAGTTTGCAAAAGAGCACCTGGATGTTCCACAGCACTACTGGCAAAATATACTGTGGACAGATGAAACCAAGATTGAGTTGTTTGGGAAGAACACACAACACTATGTGTGGAGAAAAAAAAGGCACAGCACACCAACATCAAAACCTCATCCCCACTGTAAAACATGGTGGAGGGAGCATCATGGTTTGGGGCTGCTTTGCTGCCTCAGGGCCTGGACGGATTGTTGTCATTGATGGGAAAATGAATTTCAGAGTTTATCAAGACATTTTGCAGGAAGACGTACGACCATTTGTCCGCCAACTGAAGCTCCGCAGAGGATGGGTGATGCAACAGGACAATGACCCAAAGCATACAAGTCATTCAACAAAACAATGGCTGCAACAGCACAGAATATGCCTTCTGGAGTGGCCCAGTCAGAGTCCTGACCTCAACCCGATTGAAATGCTGTGGCATGACCTTAAGAGAGCGATTCACACCAGACATCCCAAGAATATTGCTACACTGAAACAGTTTTGTGAAGAGGAGTGGTCCAAAATGACTCCAGATCGTTGTGCAGGTCTGATCTGCAACTACAGGAAACGTTTGGTTGAGGTTATTGCTGCCAAAGGAGGGTCAACTAGTTATTAAGTCCAAAGGTTCACATACTTATGTGCAATTAAACCATGGCAATATCTAATGTTTGTGTAGTATTATGTTCAGCAGACTGTGTTCTTCTATTGTTGTGACTTAGATGATGTTCAGAGCACATTTTTTATGCCCAAATCATGCAAAACTCCACATAATCCCAAGGGGTTCACATACTTTTTCTTGCAACTGTAGACTGTAATCAATGTTTTTTGGCTGGAAAAAAACCCAGGACTAGTGGGTTTCTAGATGAGTTTTGTTAGCTGTAACAATGCTCTAATGCTAAAAAACGCGGTAAAACGTGGTAGAATGCCGCAAACTGGCATTTTTGGACTTTTTTTAAAACCAAAAACGCTAAATAATGCAAACGCAGAAAAAGCCCAGGAAAACTCTAATACAAAAAACACTAAAAAAAGCTTAAAAACTCAAGTTTTTAGCGTGACTTTACACAGCTAATGTTACCAGCGTTATCAAAATGTCTAGTGTGCATGAGGACTAAGGCAGCATAAAAAAGGCAAAATGTGCTCCATTGTTTCTGGACCCTACTATGGGTACAATCAACAACTAACATCATCAGCAGCAGGAGAATTTATTTTGGGTTGTTCTTGGGTGGTAAATTATGGTGATAACAAGAAATTTACAGCTAAATTTAAGAAAAAAGATTTTTTTTTTTTAATTTTAGGCCAGTTTTCTTTTGACAATAAAAAGAAAATCATGTGATATCCATTACCATTTATCACCAAAAGAGGCCCAATTTGTCCTGAAAAAAACAAGGTATAATCCACCTGGATACACAAAGTAGTTGTGATAAAACATAGTTTTATTAACACATGTCAAAGTTGCAAAGTTGTGTTTAGGTGTTAACATTTGTTTTATCCTCAGTCACTAAGGGGTTAAGGATGCATTAATGAATACAGAGCTGAACTGATTTGCTTCTTTTTTATTTCCTGCTTCCTGGTGTATAAATGTATGATATATTGCACAGGGCTCTGCAGTTGGGAAATGTATTGCACAGCAAAGTGTCCATACCTGTAGTACAATGGTTTTCAGCATGCAGTGTACTGTTACATTGGCTATGATCACTGGGTTCACACTACATCTAATTAACCACTAGCCTACAGGGCACTTATACCCCCTTCCTGCCCAGGCCAATTTCCAGCTTTCAGCACTGTCGCACTTTGAATGACAATTGCGCGGTCATGCAACACTGTACCCATATGAAATTTTTATCATTTTTTTGTGACAGAGCTTTCTTTTGGTGGTATTTAATTACCTCAGGGTTTTTTATTTTTTTTCTTAAAACAAACCAAAAACCACTGAAAATTTTGAAAAAAAAAGTTTTTTCTTAGTTTTTTGTTATAAAATTTTGTAAATAAGTGATTTTTCTCCTTCACTGATGTGCGCTAACGAGGCTGCAGTGATGGGCACTGATAGACTGCACTGATGGACACTGATAGGTGGCACTGATGAGGAGGTACTGGTAGGTGGCACTGATGGGCATTGACAGGCATCACTGATGGGCACTGAAAGGCAGCACTGATACATGGCACTGATAGGCGGCACTGACTGGCACTGTTGGGCGGGCACTGACTGGCACTGTTGGGCGGCACTGACTGGCACTGATGGGCGGCACTGACTGGCACTGATAGGTGGCACTGATTGGCAGCACTGATAGGTGGCACTGATTGGCATTGATAGGTGGCACTGACTGGCACTGATGGATGACACTGAAAGGCAGCTCAGATGGGCACTAATATGTGGCATTGATGTGCACTGGTATGCGGCATTGATGTGGCACTAATAGGCACTGGCACGTGGCACTGATCGGCACTGACAGCTGGCACTGCTGGGGCTACACTAATCATCAGGACACACTGATCATCAGTGCCCTGATGATCAGTGTACATGTCCCCTCCGCGGAAAGCCGATTACTGGCTCTCCTCTCCTCTTGTGCTGTCAGCATGACAGCTCGAGAGGAGAGAAATGCCGATAACCGACATTTCCGTGTTTACATGTTATCAGCTGTGATTGGACACAGCTGATCACATGACCGAGCCGACATCTTTGGCTCTTTCCGTGATCAGTGATCCGCTGTGTCCGAGGGACACAGCACACCGCCGATTGCCGCGCTGCACGCTCCCTGAGCCGCGCATGCGCGGTAAGAATGGGAGGACGTCATATGGCGTCCTCTCAGAACGAGAGAACCACCTTGCGTCCGTCATTGGACTATATGACGGGCGTGATGTGGTTAATTTATAAGAAGAGAAGGTGTTTTATAAACATTTCTAATTGTTGCTATTTATTAAATTTAGTTCACAAAGAGGAAAGAAGGTGTTTTCAATCATTTCTTAAAACCCTGATCTAGACAAATAGGGATTTATTTACTAAAGCTGGTTCACTTAGAATCTCGTGCATTTCTTCATACCAATCAGCTTCCAGGTTTTATTGCTAAGCTTAATTGAACAAGCTAAAGTCAGAAGCTGATTGGCTACCATGCACAGCTGTACCAGATTCTGAGTGATCCAGCTTTAATAAATGAACCCCATATTTTTTACATTCACCAGTTACCTCCAGCACTCCAAAGACATGCTGCTAAGTTAATTGGCACCTGTTTGGAATTGGCACTAGGATGTGTGTGCCTGTGTGTAATGCAGGCCATAGATGGGTCGAAAATCGGCCGATTTTTCGGCCGAAAATAGAATTCGGCGGATTTTCAGATCGTTAGTGGGTTAACTGTTCGGCCGTTTTTCGGTATTATTGGCAGATTTTTTTAGCGGTAAAGTTGGAAAAAGATCGGCCAATTTTGCCAATCGGACGATTTCCGCGGCAATTATGGACAAATCGGCTGATCTTTTTAACCGATAAAAAATCTGCACATGAGCAGTGACCTGCAAGAGGAAGACAAAAAGAAGAAGAAGAAGAAGAGGATGAAGAAGAGGATGAAGTAGAAGAAGAGGAGGATGAAGAGGAGGATGAAGAGGAGGATGAAGAGGAGGATGAAGAGGAGAAGAAGAAGAAGAAGAAGAATTCCAGTCCGGCAAAAAGTGTCCCTGCAGAGAGCTCTGCTATTTCTTTGACAGTGCTTTGACAGTTATAGCGGTTGCAACAATGTATCTATTTGTTTCCGAATAAAAACATCTGTATCTGAAATGGATACAAATAGATACATTGTTGCAGCTGCTATAAATGTCAAAGCACTGTCAAAGAAATAGCGGAGCTCTCTGCAGGGACACATTTTGCCGGCTGTAGACGGGATGAAAAATCGGCCAATTTTTTTTTTTTTTACCATTCCTGGTAACGTCGGCTGCTTGAACGACCGATTTTTCATTTTTTTAAAGAAAAATCGGCCGGTTTTCTCCCCATCTATGGCCTGCATAAGGTTGGAACCTTAGATTGTAAGCTCCTTGAGAGCAGGCACTGGTAAGAATATACAGTACGTAATGCACTGCCTAAATTGATGGCACTATACAAATACCTAATTTCGTTCAAATATATGCAGGTATCCAGAACAAAACAACTCCTGCTCATTTACTTTGTGTATGAGCTTCCAGTAATAAAGACTGGTCACTGCTGCTTTTTTCTCCTTGTGCAGGATGGCTGGTCTTGCATCTACTTTGGGCCCCCCCACCCCCCCTCCAGTGCTGCCGGCTTCCCCTCCTCTCCCACTTCTCATTCATTCACTGTCCAGTGCAGTTGAGGCCACAGAGAAAGGGACTGGGGAATCTCTGTCCTCAGTCCCTTTCTCTTTCTCAAAAGTGAGACATCGAGGTCCTGTTTAGACTTCTGGTATTTCACTAAAGCCCCCAATGGCGCTCCTAAAAAACTGTAAAAAAATATATATATATATATATACACACACACACACACACACACTTATCAAAAAAAATTAAAGAAACACTTTGGAAACACATCAGATCTCAGTGGGGAAAAATACCATGCTAGATATCTATACTGATATGGACTGGGTAATGTGTTAGGAACATAAGGATTCCCCATTGTTTTTATCAACCTACGGAGGATTGAGTTCAAAGACACCCCAAAAATCAAAGTGAAAAAATAATGTAGCAGGCTAGTCCATTTTGCTGAAATTTCATTGCAGCAACTCAAAATTGTACTCTGTAGTGTGTATGGCCCCATGTGCTTGTATGCATGCCTGACAATGTTGGAGCATGCTCCTAATGAGACGACAGATGGTGTCCTGAGGTATTTCCTCCCAGATCTGGACCAGGGCATCACTGAGCTCCTGGATAGTTTAAGGAGCAACCTGGTGGCATCGGATGGACCAAAATATGATATCCCAGAGGTGTTCTATTGGATTTAGGTCAGGTGAGTGTGTGGGCCGTTCAATGGTATCAATTCCTTCATCTTCCAGGAACTACCTGCATACTCTTGCCACATGAGGCCGGGCATTGTCGTGCACCAGGAGGAACCCAGGACCCACTGCACCATGTTAGGGTCCAACAATGGGTCCAAGGATTTCATCTAGATACCCAATGGCAGTCAGGGTGCCATTGTCTAGCATGTAGAGGTCTGTGCTTCTCTCAATTGATAAGCCTCCCCAGACCATCACTGACCCACCACCAAAATGGTCATACTGAATGATGTTACAGGCAGCATAACGTTCTCCACGGCTTCTCCAGATTTTCACATCTGTCACATGTGCTCAGGGTGAACCTGCTCTCATCTGTGAAAAGCAAAGGGTGTCAGAGGCAGACCTGCCAATTCTGGTGTTCAGTGGCAAATGCCAATCGGGCTCTATGGTGCCGAGCAGTGAGCACAGAGCCCACTAGAGGACATTGGGCCCACTAGAGAATGTTGGGCCCTCAGGCCACCCTCATGAAGTCTGTTTCTTTTTGTTTCGCCTGAGACATTCACACCAGTGGCCTGCTGGAGGTCATTTTGTAGGGCTCTGGCAGTGCTCATCCTGTTCCTCCTTGCACAAAGGAGCAGATACCGGTCCTGATGACGGGTCAAGGACCTTCTACAGCCCTGTCCAGCTATCCTAGAGTAACTGCCTGTCTTCTGGAATCTCTTCCATGTTCTTGAGACTGTACTGGGAGACACAGCAAACCTTCTGGCAATGGCACGTACTGATGTGCCATCCTGGAGGAGTTGTACTGCCTGTGCAACCTCTGTAGGGTCCAGGTATCGCCTCATGCTACCAGTAGTGACACTGACCCTAGCCAAATGCAAAACTAGTGAAAAACAGTAAGAAAAGATGAATAGGGAACAAAATGTCTGTGGCCTCCACCTGTAAAACCATTCCTATTTTGCGGGTCATCTCAGTGTTGCCCATCTAGTGCACCTGTTGTTAATTTCATATACACCCTAATGCACTAGGCTGTGCACACCTATGATGGCTACCCAAGTAACTGAGTGCCACAACCACTAAGTGCATAGTTGAGTGCTTTTTACCAACTGTCCAGAAGGTTGGCCGCAGTTGTCTGTGACACTCTTTCTCACACTACCCAAAGCTAGTACAGCTTCCCATGTACAGACAGGGGAGGAGAGAGGGATTCCCTACCCCTCTGTGTCTGCCGATCCACTCTCCAATCCCTGGCATGCTGTGTCTCAGAAAAGGGATGTGTGGGTGCAAAATGTAAAGCCCGGCAGCTGGTAGATACATAGTGGATGAAAGGTGCCGATGTCTGAACCTCCATCCTCGGGTGAATTAGCTTACCATCCACTGTCTGTGACTGAAGATTACCCCCTTCCTTCTCTCTCCTGCCTCCAAGCAAGTGAGTACACTAAGGTAAAGAGGACTCTGATGTAAGGGGTGCTCTGCAGACTCTGAAGTAAAGGGGGCTTTGGGAAATCTGGGGGATGCTGGGAATTCTAATGTAACTGGGAGCTTTGGTGAGCAGAAATCCCCTTACATCAGAGTTCCCCTTTACAACCAAAGTCCACAGCATTCGCTTTACAAAAAAAAAAAAGAATTAGCTGTGTACCGCTAAAGTGTTCAAATTTGGCTTGAAGAAAAGTTGGCAACCCTATTGACAGCTTCCTGTGCTACACTGTTATTCGCTAGCATTTTTTTCCACTGTGGACTATAAAACAGGTTCTCCCAATATTATATAGAAGATGGCAGAGGGTTAGTTCAGTAATTCTAACATACTTCCAGTCCTAAAGTGCCAACTCTGCTGTGCCATAGAATCGGTAAGCGTTGTCACCTTAGTACAGGAATGCATTACTGGCAGAATCACTGGGTAGAAATAAAGGAAAAAACTGCATGCTTTCCCACAATGCACAAAAAGGTGCTGTCCTTTTGCAGATGTCATTAATGGCACTGCCATTACATTTTTAATAGTGCCCTCTCACATCTTGCTAACGTGTGACATGCAATACCATGCACTTTAGTGCGATGCAAGTTTTAAAATGTTTAATTTATCTTGCACAATTATTGTGTGTAGGGCAGCCTATTGAAACTAATGTATTCTTAAAGTGGTTTTAGGCCCAAAAACAAAAATGTAATATATTGCAGCTTGCCAACTTTTAATTGTGATGGCTGCATTACTTTTCTTTTTTCATTTATTTTGCACAATTATTGTGTGTAGGGCAACCTATTGAAATTAATGTATTCTTAAAGTGGTATATGGCCCCAAAACCAAAAATGTAATATATTGCAGCTTACCAACTCTTAATTGTGATGGCTGCATTACTTTTATTTTTTCTGAATGTTTTCCTTTATTTTCAACTGATGATCCAGCCAGTAGGTCTGTTCATTTTTCTTTCACAATAGTTTTATCATTTTTACATTGAGGGTGATAAAAAAATTAAACACAGCGTGTACAACATAATGTAGCATATAACAAAATGGATATGCATGCAAT